CCTAACCTAGAGCGTACAGAATATTAGAGTTGAAAGGACCATACACTTGCTCCCAACTGGTGGACTAAGGATTCTTGCCTCCTCCAAATTGTTGCAAGTGTTCCAGGTTGCATCAGGCATCATTTGAGGATAATGTCCTGTAACATACCAATATTCAGTACTATTTTACTGTTGTGATTAATATATAAATTTGTCTCAAAACATTCTTCTTAGTAGCTTTGCATCATGTTGCATTTTCTCTGTTGGCCTTTATGAAACATACAACTCGCCCTTCAGGGTGCAGTACAAAGGAGTCATAAAGTGCTTGACATTAAACAGGAGCCCTTGTGCTCAGAAAAGTCAAGCATTGGTGCTCTCCTTCCCAAGGCCCCGGAAAATGATGTGTGATGTACTCGCTTGCGCAGCTTATTAAGGAAAACACTGGTGAGAACTTTGTTCTCCTAATCCCTAGTCTGAAACTCCCACGAGTGGAGATGTTTGCATTATTACTTCTGCAAAAACCAGAAATGTACTTAATGTTCCGATTAGTATGCATGAAGCCAAGTATTGACAGGAAATGGGTTACGTGGAAAACATTTAAAACACTACCTGGCACATAGGCATAAAGCCCTCAGTAAAGGATAGCTATTATCATGATGGCTGTTACCACAATGGCTATTCAGTAAAGAGTGTTTTGACAGTTTTTTTCTCTGTTACTCAGAGTAACTGATCACATCTACGTGCAACATCTTAAGTTATGTCATTTGTCACTCAGGCAAATGGCTTCTGTTTTCACTGCTTGTCCTCTCCGAATGGTAGAGGGTGGACATTTTTTCAAATCTCCCTTCCAGACGTCTGTTAGGTCTAGAGGCTCTTGCCATTAGCGCCGAGGCTGACTTTGGAGGCAAGTCCTTGGCGGTGTCTTTTGTTGGGGCCTCTGACATTGGCCTTCAATGTGCACGCTTAAGACAGAGCTCAGTTTTGTTGATGAATTACCCATTGGGATTTGGTATGTTTCTGTGAACTAAACAGATTTATACATTTATTTTCAATCAATGTTCTTTTATAATAATCTGTCCTCCTCTCTGCCTCTTTCTTCTATTTATTGAGAGATTTAACGGTAGATCAATATTGATTTAACATGTAAACCCAGAGGTAGTCTCCAGAGATTTGGTATCTCATTTTAGAATGTGGCCCCCAGGTGATAGTAGAAAAACGGTGACAGAGATTTACATCTGACTGTGCAAATAGAGTACCCACTTCACAAAACTGCGTCGCACCCAGATTAATCACAGTAGTTAAATACAAAGACAATTCTCCTTGGGCTTTTCAGGTTAATTTAGGATGGAAGCAAGTGTTTCACAATGGGTTTGGTTCTGAATTTTTTCAGTATCCATGTGAGTTCCCTTTCTTTGGCTAGTGATCTGGGAATTTGATGTCTATGCTAAATAAGAGATTATGTAGAATTTGGAGTTATGCATAAATACCATAATTGGGAAAACTAAGTGACTAAATATATGAAAAGTGTTTAGAATAGTGCCTGATGTAGTAAATGCCATATCAATTGTTATTAGAACTAAATTGAAAGGCTTTTATATTCATACTAGAGGCCCAGTGCATGAAATTTGTGCATGAGGGGGTATCCCTCAGCCCGGCCTGCACCCTCTTGCAATCCAGGACCCCTCGGGGGATATTTGCCAATTTAAGCCTGTGGGACCAGGTCTAAATTGGCAGTCGAACATCCCTCTTGCAGTTCGGGGCTCCTAACTGCTAAATGTGTCAGCCTGGTCACCCCTAACCACTCACCTGCCTGATCACCCCTATCCACTCTGCCTACCCGATCACCCCTAACCACTCACCTGCCTTCCTGATTACCTCTAACCGCCTCTTCCTTGGCCCCTGCTGAGGCAGCTTCATCCTGAAAGACATCCAGAATGAAGTCCAAAAGGTCGTTCGGCTGTCTGGTCTAATTAGCATATTGCGCTTTTATTATTATAAAGAAAAAAACTGTCAAATAGTCATTCTAATTAGAAGGAGAAAAGAGTGATTCTCCAATATATGGTTTCTGTGGCTAAATTGTAAATTTTGTTGTGATAAATGCACAGTTTATATTGATGTGTGGCTAACATTTATTGAGCACACACTATTTCCCAATTACTGTGCTAAGGAGTTTACATATTTTATTTAATTCTCACAAAAACCTTATGGAGATACTATTATCCCTACCTAACAGATGAGAAAACTGAGGTTAAGAGTAAGTGAACTTCTAAAGGTCCAAGAGCAGGTATTTGATCTAATATTTCAAGGTTGGTGCCCTCAAAATATGCTTGCAACTGTCACAATATTGACATTTTTGTATAGCAATAAGATATAAGTCTGCACTTTTTCAGAACTTAGTAAGACAAATGAAATTGGCTTCATTTATTTCCCCACCCTCTTGATTGTTGGTTGTATGCCATGTCTTAATCGGAATGAGGATACCTTGGGGCCTTAAAGAGGTTTTTGCCTCCTAAATGTTCATAGCTATTTATGGCTCAGTATTATACAAACCTAGTAGGAATAGCTTTTGTACTTTCCCCCACCCTCAAAAAGCAACAATTTCTCTAATTCCTTTCCTATATAAGGGAGAAACCCTGGCGTGTGGCACCATAGTTGCTAGTAGTAAAGGTTGTTTAGAATAAAGCAGTCTGGCAGAGGGACGCTGGCATAGACTCCTGGTTTACCATCACGTTTGTCCTGAGAAGCAACATCGCCACGGAGCAAGGTGCCCACTGTTGTGCTTTCCAGAGAGCACAGAAAATTTGCTCATCTCCATTGCCTGTTGGCTTTGGGTTTCCTGCAGCTGCTCTTTGCTCTCATTTCATCCTTAATTAGCCTGTCTCATATTATATATGCCTTGCAAGACACTCCTGCTGCACACTCAGAAGTCTGCTTTGAATCTTCGATAAGATCATTCAGCAGGTCTAAGTAGGGCATTTCCATCTCCTTTTGGCATTCGGCAGTGCTTGCTGTTGTTCCTCTGCGTGCGGTGAGACAGAGCTGCCTCTCATGCCTCCTGTGAACGCCATGCTGGCCTATATGACATTTCTCACCTCTGAATTCCTGCAGGATCCGCAGTCGTAATGCACTGGCTCATACTGGCTTATTTTGGAGCAGTTTCCTGTGTGAAGAGGCAGGAACACCGGTGTGTCTCCTTGAGAATCTGACTCAGGGTTGGGCAGCGGTGAGCTTAATAAAGAAAGAAATGGAGAGGGAAACAAGGGAGAAGGAAAGGTGTTAATGTCTGCCTTATCTCCCAAATTAGATTGCTGGCTTCTCAGCTCAGAGGTCAAATCTGTTTTTCCCATCTCCTTTAATGCTTACTGGAATATTAGGCAAGCAGTGAGTATACAGCGTAGACTTATGGCCTGAAAGCCTAGGTTTTACTTTAATTAATAGACTATGCCAAAAAGGCTACGTACCATCTCCATTCCTTTGAACTTAATGCAACCCAAAGGAAGGACAGTTTTCTGCGGACGTTATCGAAATGTTATTTACCTTGAATTGGAGGTTTCTCTGAATTGGTTTTAGATTGGTCGTAAGCAGAACTGTAATCCCCATTACAGAGGACATACCTCTGCTCTGGTGGCGCAGTGGAGATAGTCGTGATGACAGAAGTGCACGTGTTTGTGAGGCGGAGTGCTATTCTGAGGAAAGTACCCAAGGTGACATCCTGTCTATGCCTAAAATGCTGCAGTGAATAAAAGCTCCTTCTCACCAAGAGGGCTTGCATTTGGCCCCAAGAAGGAGTCAGTGGCCCAGTGACCAGGACTGGGAGGTACGCAGCACGCACCTTGCACCTCTGTCAGAAATCAGGTGACCATATACTTGTAGATCCATTTCCGGACCTTCATTCTGTTCTATCATGCTGTATCTTTTTACCTCTACTGAGCTCTACTGAACACAATAACTTTATAGTACAGTTGTTTAGGCCAAAATATCTTAGGGTCATGATGACTTTTTCTCTCCTACTCGACATCTAATCTATCAGCAAATCCTATCGATTGTACTTTCAAAATATATCCCGAATCTGATGGCTTCTGACCAACTCCATCACTTTTATCTTGCTGTCTCCTAACTGAGCATTGTGTGTGTATATATTCGAATTTGATTATTGTATGTTTTCCCCACTAGAATTAAAGTAGGGACTTGGTCTGTTTTGTTTACTGTTGTCTTCTCTATCAGATAAGAGTGGTCAGGGCAGATGTCTCTGAGGAGAGGGTATTTGAGCTAAGAATGAAGGGGAACCAGCTATGCAGAAGTCTAAGAGTGCACTCCAGGCAAAGGGAAGGGCCCTCCAGTAGAAATGCTTGTCATGTTTGTAGTGGCGGGGAGGAGGGCAATAAGAATCTCAGTAGGTCTAGAATATAGCAAATTATGGAAAGAGTGGAACAAAATGAAGTGGGAGAGACAGGGCCAAATCATCATGTAGTTTTGCCTGACCCAGATACAACAGGAAAAGCTCTAGATTGCACTGCAGATTACTACTCAGTAACTACTAGCAGCACTCAACTACTTAAAATTTAATACACTAAAATAAAATAAAACACTCAGTTTCTCAGTCACATTAGCCACATGTGGATAATGGCTACCTACTAAATAGCTCAGCACAGATGGAGACCTTTCCATCTTCACAGAAAGCTGTGTTGGATGGTGATGCTCTAGGAACACAATCAAAGGAGAAATAATGCTTGGCCTCTCTTTTGTGACTTTCTCTTAACCCTAGAATCAGTTTTTCTATTTAAATTGAAATGGATGTGGTGCCTAAAAAATTAGCATATGGACTGTTCCATATGCAAATGTTGGTATGGATGATTTTTATCTGTGACAGAAAAGATGGGAGAGACTGTTAGATCACAAGCTTTCTTAGCCTCATTATAAATACATTGCAAATGTAAAAAAGTGCGAAGTGCAGAAGTCATAAATGTGAAAGTGGCTTTCAATTTGTTTTAATAAGGGTGTTTTCTGTGTTTGTAACCTAGGGATCTTGCTGCAAGAAACTGCCTGGTAAGTGAAAACAATATTCTGAAAATCAGTGACTTTGGAATGTCTCGCCAAGAGGAAGGTGGAGTGTATTCATCTTCTGGCTTAAAGCAGATTCCCATTAAATGGACAGCACCAGAAGCTCTTAATTACGGTAAGATCGGACACTTTCCTTTTGGTGGTTAAAAAAAAAAAAAAAAAAAAAGGGCTCCAACAGAACAAAACATTCACAAGCAAAGTTAGAGGGGTACAACAGAGTACAAGATAGAATGAGGTATAAAATGTTCATACTTTGCACTTAAACATGAGCACCAACTTAATTCATTGACCTTTCTGATCAGATGTTATATGTAAGATTGCTAATTTTAAAAGATGATGACTTACAAGCATTTTCAAATCTGAGAGTTCCTTTTTATCTGAAAAACTATTTAAAATTTTTAATTTATTAGAGTGACATTGGTTAACAAGATTATACAAGTTTCAAGTGTACAATTTTATATGACATCATCTATATATTGCATTGTGTGTTCACTATCCAAAGTTGTCTCCTTCCAATACCACACATTTGACCCTCTTTACCCTCTGCATCCTTCCTCCTCTCATAACTGCCATACTGTTGTCTGTGTCTATGAATTTGTTTTACTTGTTCATTTATTACTTTTTTTTTATATCCCACATATTTTTTTATATCCCACATATGAATGAAGTCATATGGTTCTTGTTCTTTTCCGACTCATTTTACTTTAGATCATACTCTCAAGACCCATTTATATTGTTGCAAAGGCTTTTTATGGTTGAGTAATATTCCACTGTATAAATGCACTATATCTTTTTTATCTAATCATCCATCAAAGGATACTTAAGTTGTTTCCATGTCTTGGCTACTGTGAACACTGAGGTACATATATCTTTAAAAATAAATGCAGATATCCATAAGAGGGATTGTTGGATCATATGCTAGCTTTATTAATTTTTGAGGAACCTTTATACTATTTTCCATAGAGGCTGTACTAGAATACATAACCACAAGTAGTGAATGAGGGTTCCCTTTTCTCTCCAATCCCTCCAAGATTTGTTATTACTTGTCTTGTTGATAATAGCCATTCTAACCGATGTGAAGTGGTATCTCATCGTGGCTTTGATTTGCATTTTCCTATAGCTAGTGAATTCAAGCATCTTTATATATATATATATGTTGGCCATTTGTATGTCTTCTTTGGGTCCTCTGCCCATTTATAAATTGAAGTGTTTTGTTGTTGAGTTCTTCATATATTTTGGATATTAGCCCATTATCATAGGTAGTGTTTGCAAACATATATTCCTATGTATTTGATTGCCTTTTTGTTTTGTTGGTGGCTTTTTTATTTGTGTAGAATGTAGTCCCATTCATTTATTTTTACTTTAACTTCCTTTGCCTTTGGGGTCAAGTTCACAAAAACCTCTCTGAGACTAAGATCCATGATCCATAGTTTAGTTCATATGTTTTTATCTATGTATTTTTATTGTTTTAGGTCTTTTATGTAAGTTTTTAATCTATTTTGAGGGGAGAGACCAAGAGGTTTTCTCACTCTGCCATGATGCTGATGTCACTACCAGATTTTCATTTTAAGAATCAGATTATACGCAGAGTAAAAGTGTTGCTATGGCTTTGGTATTTCTTTTGAATTTCTTATAACTTCATCTAATGTTCGGTTCCTAAAATATTAAGCCAATCAATCCTGGAGTTACTCACTCTAAAAACTGACATGGTTTCTTAGCATCTCAGTCTCTGGAACTTGTATAAATCTTGTGGAAAGAGATGGGAATTGCATTTTAAAACAGCAGGGATTTTTTTAACTTGAATTTTTTATGTGCCATTGTAATTGGATATAAATACAGCTTGCATTATCTGTGGTTGGGATGAAATGGGCCATAACTAGATGGGTAGCAGCTCAAGAATTTTGAAAGAAATGGATTGTGCTTTGAGTGAAATTAAAATTGCACTTTTAGTAAGAGAAGCAGCATAAAAGCCATGGGTTGGTGAATGGGTATAGTATGGTTTGAATTAAAATAGCATAAAATTATTTTTGTTGATTTAAAATGAGAAATTACGTCATGAGAAATAAGGCATTTATAAATGTCTTTAGGCATTAAATTCATACAAATAAGCCTTTTTATAAAATGCATGTAACAAAATTAACCATTTTAAAGTAAATAATTCAGTAGCATTTAGTACAATTCACAATGTTGTGCAACCCCTGCCTCCATCTATATAATAGTTCCAAAATAAAACCCTTTACCCAGTAAGAAGTTACTTCCCATTACTGTCTCTCCTGAGACACTGACAACCACATACCTGCTTTTTCATGCTGTGGATTTACCTATTCGACATATTTCATGGAAATTGAATCATACAATATGTGGCTTTTTTCACTTAGCATAATGTTTTCAAGATTCATCCATATTGCAGACTATTATTCCTTTTCATGGCTGATTAATATTCCACTTTATGTATTTACCGCAGGTTATCTATTCATCCATTGATGTATTTTTCAGCAGTTTTGAAATTTGTGAATAGCATCACTATGAACATCTGTGTACATGGATTTGAGTACCTGTTTTCAATTATTTAAATACTAGGAAGCATATAGTAATTCTATATTTAACTTTCTGAGGAACCAACAGATATTTTCCATATAAAGCCGTGGAATATAATCGGTTTGGGACTTAGTTGGAGCAGAAACTAGAATCTCTTTATTGTGTATATCAAGGATACATGGGATAGACATGTGTAGGTAGTTGCCATTATGAGAAGTTGACAAGGCTATTCTAGTTGGCAACAATGAAGTTTTCAACATTAATGTTCTACAGATAGTAAGCCTCATCTTTAGTTTGTCTTCCCAGATGCTACCAAGAGAAGCTTTTGTGAGCTTCCACTATTCCTCATATTTAGAGAAAGTAGCAGTTCTGTTAGTTTCCATTATGATTCTTCTCTGGGGTGGTGTTTGTTATTACTCTAAGGAGATCAATCACACGTTGGAAGATAGGATTGTAACTCCTGTATTTACACAGAGATTTTCTTTGGATAAAAGAAAAGACATTGCTAGGCCCCTTCTTATAGCATCCCTATAAGTGACCTGGACTTGGGATATCCTAAAGGCTTACCAGTAAAATACAGATCTCTGGAATTTGTTCTTATACCTGTTTTTAGATCTACATTATATTGCCTTTACAACTCCTCTTACTTATAAGCAATTATGCCAAGTAAATTCTGCCTTTTAATAAAAGTGTATTTTGATTGAATTTCAAACTACTATTTACAAATCACTATTCTAATTCCAGATATCTCTTAACAGCCAGGTTTAAGTATTTTAAAAAAATATTTATTGTATATTAGTTTCAGGTGTAAAATATAGTGATTTAACATTTTTATACTTTACAGTGTGATTACTATGTATATTCCCCTTTACCCTACTCCCTCTCTTCTGATAGCCATCAGTTTGATCTCTATTTCTATATCTGTTTTTGTTTGGTGTATTTTTTTAGATTCCACATATAAATGAAACCATACAGTATTTGTCTGACTTATTTCACTTATAATATCCTCTAAGTCCATCCATGTTTTAAAAATGGCAAGATTTCATTTTTTTATTGCAGTGTAATATTCTAGTGTGCATATATATATATATATATATATATGAATATTCCAGTGCTCACATATATATATATACTTATATATATAAAATATTCATTCATGTCTTCTTTACCCATTCATCTGTTGGATATCTTGCCTCTGTATCTTTGATATTATAAGTAATGTTGCAATGAACATAGGGATGCATGTCTTATCTCCTCTGCCCATTTTTTAACCATATTGATATTTTTTGTTATTGAGTTATATGAGGTTTCTTATATCATTTGTAAATATAACCTTCCATTCAGTAGGTAGTCTTTGTTTTGTTGGTTTCCTTTCACTGTACAGAAGCTTTTTAGTTAAATGAAGTTCTATTTTTGCTTTTGTTTCCTTGCTCAAAGAGTATATCCAAAGAGTATATCCAAAAAGACATTATACAGACTGATGTCAGAAATTTACTGTTTTCCTCTACAAGTTTTATGGTTTCAGGTCTTACACTTAAATACATTGAGTTTATTTTTGTATATGGTATAAAAGAGTGGTCTGGTGTTTGTAATACCACTTGCTGAATAGGCTATCATTATTCCATTAGCATAGACTAGTTGGTTATATAATATGGTAACCTACTAAATGGGAGAAAATATTTGCAAATTATATATCTGATTATATTGATATATTTTGGATATTAACTCATTAAGAACTCATACAATCCAACAGCAAAAACAAAACAAAAAATTGATTAAAAAAAAAAACAGGCAGAATATCTGAATTCACATTTTCCTAAAGAAAACAGAGGTGACCAACTGGTACATGAAAAGATTCTCAATGTTGCTAATCATCAGGGAAATTAAAGCCACAATTAAATATTACCTCATATCTGTTAGAGTGGCTATTATAAAAAAAAAAAAAAAAAGACAAGACAAGATATAACAAATGTTGGGGAAGATGTGGAAGATGTGGAGAAAAGAGAACCCCTGTGCACTTTTGGTAGGCTTATAAATTGGTGCAGCCACAAAGTAAAACAGTTTGTTGAAAAATTTTAAAAAGTACTATATAATCCAGCTATTCCACTTCTGGGAATATACGTGAAGGAAATAAAATCATTATTTGAAAGAGATATAATTACTCCCCATGTTCACTGTAACATTATTTACAATAGCCAAGATATTGGAACAACCTTAGTACTCATCAATACATGAATGAATAAAGACAATGTAGTGAAAAGTACATATACACACCAAAAACACTGTAGTGAAAAGTACATATACACACCAAAAACACAAGTATATAGATACAGAGAATAGATGGGTATTAAATACAGGTGGGTTTCAGGATGGGTGAAATGGAGGAAGTGGGTCAAGGGATGTTATGTGCAGCATAGTGACTATAGTTAATGATAAAGTTCCTAAGAGAGTAGATCTAAAAAGTTTCATCAAAAGAAAAAAACAATTGTGTGATGACAGATGTTTACTAGACTTATTGTGTTGATCATTTTGCAAATATTGAATTATTATGCTGTACTCCTGAAACTTATAAATCAAATCAATTCTACCTCAATAACAAATATATAAATTTTAAAAATTATCCTTCAAAACTCAAGGATATAAGATGGAGTGTTGGATTATATAAAATATGCCTTTGTAGATATCTGTCCAGATATTATATTACAAAAAGAAGGTATTGATTCTCTATTCCTCAGTCAATTAGTCTTAACTGTAGCCATTGAATGACTTTCATAAAAGGTATTAAATATTGGATGCCAAACATGAAAGAGTTGATATGCAAAAAAAAAAAGAAAAAGAGTTGATATGCAGATAAGAAAATGAATCTTCCTGCTAAATATCATAGTGAATGTCCATACTTAGTCTACTAAGAAAGAAGCTAATGTACGCAGCTGGCGATGAAAATCAGTAAGCATACTCTAAGCTCTGCCTTTGGAGAAATTACCATATGTACGCTTACTGAGGTTCTCATTTTACATTTTTCAAGAAAGTGAAAAGGCCATCCTACTTTAAAGAAACTGGATAATTTTAGAGGAGGGGCACTTATAAATTCTGGAATGGAAAGGTTAAGGCGAGTAGCTTCAAGAAAGTAGAAATGAAATCATTTCAGAATTCCTATAACACTGCTGCAAATGAGGATTAGTTAGAACAATTTATGCTCTGTATGGGAAAAAAAAAAAATATGTTGAGAAAAATCTAAATTTTTACCTGTTGGATATTGGAAAGAATTTTTCTGCTTTGCCTCCGTGACTTCACATCCATCTCCAGAATGTATTTGGTGTTGGCTTTTATTTCTGCTTCTTTGGAAGACTTTTTTTTTTTAATAATCTGTGAGCTTAGCTTATGCAGCCTAGTAAAACAGATGCTTCAGGACTTCAACAAAACAAGTCACCATGTTCTCTGAGCTGGCCGACATAAACAACTTCTTTAATTTGTACTCTATTCAACACACACACACACATTTTCCATAAATGAAACTATCAGTGGGGAAAAGGAGACCGTTAAGCAAGTAAGAATAATATCTGTAAATAGTGATGAGTAAACAATTTAAGAAACTTTATTGCTTTAACTTTGTAATCTTAGTAGAATGAAAATGATGCAGGCAGAAAACAAAATTGCAGAAATCCAACTTAATCTCCTAGGCATTGATATGTACAAACATATCTTTTTTATATAAACCATCCATCTCAGTTGGGTACCACAGGGAAAGCAAGCTTGCATGCTGGCGGGATGGGGAGTGTGATTTGGAAGGTGTTCATTTTTTGGAGAGTGAAACTCGTGCAGAGAATAGAATCACTGGTTTTTTGGCAAAGTTTAAATATATTAACATGTGACTGACATAGAAGTGCAAACCCAGAAATGGTCACCTACTTATCCCCCTCACCTGGCTGTGGTTCTGTGTGCCCTCTAGGGAGGTACAGTTCTGAGAGTGACGTGTGGAGCTTTGGCATCCTCCTCTGGGAGACCTTCAGCTTTGGGGTGTGCCCGTACCCCGGAATGACAAACCAGCAAGCACGTGAGCAGGTGGAAAGAGGTGAGAACCGAAGACAGGAGTGGGACTGGCCACATCCAGCCCCAGGGACAGGCGGGGGCAGAGGGGCAATGCTGTTCGAGGGTGTAGGGAGAACAGAGGTGTTTGTAAATCTGCTTTTGAACCCCATGGATCGCGTGGCTCTTATATAACAAAAAGCAACAAAAACCTTTTGAGCTTTGAAAATAGAGAGCTCCAGGGTTTCCTCCCACGCCCCCTGCCTGGCCTGACACCTGCAAGGCACACCGTTCAGTTTCGTCAAGGGAACTCGGGGAGCGTTCCTCAAGCTCCCGTTTTTTATTCCATGTGGAACAAGCACCATTAGTGTCACTGCGAACGAAATGTAATTAGACTGCAGGAGGTTTCTGAGAATTCCGTACCGCTTCGCTTCTGAAGGCACCCCGTGGGCGTTCCCAGGTCACCACGGGAACAGGAGGTGGTGGTGATGCCAGGCAGTCCAATGTCTCTGACAAAGAGCAACACGGCCCCTGACACCTTGGGAGGGGCCTGGTGGTAGGACTGGCGTAGAGGATGGCTTCCTGCCTCCCTTCTCTGACCTCTCAGACACCCTCCCGCGGTGCACACACAGGCTGCCGCCTGGCACACATCCGGGATGCACCGAAGCTGTAGAGTAGGGGTGTCGAACTCAATCAGAGAAGGGGCCAAAATCTAAAATCCAGCCTAAATCGCGGGCCGAATGGTTTACTGAACAGTCATAAACTGTGATTGTGATGGAAACGCAGCGGAGTGCAGTGATGACAGCGCTGTGCGGGCCACATTGCAAGGCCTGGCGGGACGGATTTGGCCCGCGGGCCTTGTGTTTGACACATGTGCTGATTAAAGGCTGTGTAGGATTTAGGTTCAGAGAGAGGAAGGAAAGGACATTGGGGCAAGGGAATGGCATTGTTAGAGATAGACTCAGCATCTGGCCTGTGCTTGGGGCCTGTTGGGGGGAGTGGAGGGAAAATTAAGTTGTAGCCAGATTGGGTAGCCTGGATATCAAGTCATGAGCTTGGGAAGCTATTTTATAGGCATTTTGGAACCATCTTTATGGTTCCAAAGAAAGTGACATTTTTAAAGTAATGATTCTTAACTTTTTTCGTCCCCAAGGAAGCACGACACACTTTTACTAGCTGCGCTGTCCCTCCAAGGCCATGTGCTGTAGAGGATTCTAACTCAGGTTCATTTCTATTTCACTTTTGAATTGGTGTTTATCAAATCCTCCTCCTCTCTTCAAAAACCTGGGGAGTAGAGATGATTTTTTTTTTTAAACGGTTCTGCCCACAGCCTCAAAGCGAATACTTAGAGTAGATGTGCCTCTGCCTGTGATGTATCTCACATCAGACTCAGCAACAAACAAAGCAGGTTCTCCGAACTTGCAGGTAATTCTGTAGTTCCGTAATAATGATACGTGTTTTCAAACAATCAGTTTGCCTTATAAAGGGTGTTTTGTTTCTGTTCCATCTACAACGTAAGGCACTAACCGTACAAACTGCATAACGCCCTGTGCCAGCATTCATGTCTTACCTCCGTTTTCCTTCTGTTGGGCCTTCAGGGTACCGGATGTCAGCCCCTCAGAACTGCCCGGAGGAGATCTTTAAGATTATGGTGAGGTGTTGGGATTATAAGCCTGAGAACCGGCCCCGGTTCAGCGACCTCCAGAAAGAGCTCACTACCATCAAGAGGAAGTTCACATAGTGCTGGGCGGGGCCGGACGCACGCAACCCACAGACGTCCTGTCCCTTCGTTTGCAATGAGTTTGTACCACGTTACCTGCACCAGTCTGCCAAGGTTTTTTATTAACTTTTTAAAAATATGTGCCACTTAAAAAAAAGGAGGAGGGACAAATGCATTTAAGGAACAGACAGTCCTACAAAGGGCTTCATGAGCTCATCATAGCGATCCTGCCACACCACTGTCATGGAAAAACACAGGCGCTCACATGAGGGAGAACAGACACTTTTCACATCGAGACCACTGATGCTCCTCAAAGCCGGGCCACTCCAGGCCCAGGTCACGGGCCGCGTCGGTGCCACAGGCCCGACGCCCTCGGTGCTAGAAGCTGCCTAGGTAACGCCACAGAGCTGGCGCTCTGCTCTGCCAAGGCAAGATCACATTTGTAAACATCGTTTTCTACCAGGAATTGTTTGGCCCTCCTGGGTTTTTTGTTTCAATTGTCACTCTCCCGTGTCAGTAGCGAGGTTGTCAGTTCCCGCCTCGGTTTGGGCATTGGAAAACCATGCACGGATTGTCCTCACACAGCACGCACCTAGCATTGGGGCCGCAGCTTTGAAAGGATGCTTGGGAGAGCTGTGACGGCAAGGAGTCAGGGCGGGAGGGTGGTCTGGAGAAAAAGAGCAGCTAGACAGTGGATCGGAGAAGAGAAGGAAAACATAAAATGTCTTCCTATCTAAGCTATGCCTTTATAAACATCAAACATACTCGTTTTATTGTATGGTCTGAAGTCCCAGAACAGATTCTAAGAAATGATTTTTCAGGAGTTCATAGATAAAGCCTTCTTAAGGGCAACGAAAAACTTCTTAGAGGAACTGCAAAGCACAAGCCCACAAAACCAGCATGCACCTCAGAGGAGGCCTCCAGAATGTAACGCCCTGCATTGGCGCCATTTCCTGAGCTTCGAAGCCAGTTCAGAAACACTCGTGTGCATACCCACACCGCACAAAGCAAGGCGGGTGTGGATGAAGACAAATGGACACTATTGAGAATGACAATAGGGGGCTGTCCCGGATTTTCTGTTTCCCCCTGTGTGACCCCTAGACTGCTGCCTGGAAACCCTTCCCCTAGGGGGCAGGTGTGCAAACAGAGTGCTGGAGATGCTTCCCAGGAAGGTGTGGCAGTCACCTCTGGGATTCTGCTGAGCTAACCCTTAGCTGCACCCAGGGACCTTGCCCCATGTTGTGTATATAGTTACCTCTCAGGATCAGTGCGTGTGGGAGAGAAGGTCAGGCTCAGGGGTAAATGTGGCCGAGGAGCTAGATTACGTGCTCAGGTGTGTGCCCGGCGAAGAGCACCCCAGTGACTGTTTGGTCCTTGTTTATTAGAAGAGCTTATTTATGGGAAGAAAATCCCTCCCGTCCCCTTCGGCTGTTTGCTGCCTGTGAATATCACTGCATGGAACTCAAACCAGCACTTGGAAAAGTAGGAAGGATAATACTGAAGAGAAAAAATGGCTTGTCTATCATTTCAACCTTCTTGCAAGTTTTGTACACATTTAAATGATTACTACGTTCAGACTAAAACAAAAGCATAATAAACTTGCCTTCAAAAATATACTGCAATATTCAAAGCAATTTTTTAAAAGAACTGTTTTCCCTCCTGTCAGATATTGTAAATAAATGGAACCTTCTTTTGATGGCATACACTGTGATAAATCAGGGCCCAGACTCGGGAATTGAATTAAGTGCTATGGTCTTCAGGCCCCAGCCAGCCTTCAATCACAGGAGTGAGGCGGGGCCGTTTGTACCCTTTCCCTAGATTTCTTATTTATGGAAGCTGGCCTCCCATCACTTAGCTTCACTGCTAAGCTGCAGCAAGGAGAGAGGAGGAGGGTTTGGGCTGTAATTTTGTGAACAAGACCTGAAGCTTAATCTTTGCACTCTGGTTTGGAGAAGGAATATGGCATTGATGATATTTCCCTCACTCTGTTAGAATTTACAATTCACATCGTAACTCTGTGCTTGAATTAAAGCAGCAGCTTTCAAAACACCGTGACAGCTGCAGCATTTAAATTCTGCTTTATTCTTTGTCCCAGAGCAGGCGATAGAATAGTTCAGGATCATATCCGTTGTGAAGAATATTAAATTTTATATAGGTACACGCACCAAGAAAAACTTATGCAAAACCATTTTTACTATTAATTTTCCTGCACTTAAAACATAATTTATTCATCCCTTCTGTCACTGATAATTATTGGAATTATGTACTTTAGGTGGCTAATCCATAACCAAAAAGCACACATAAGGACTGTTCTGAATTTGCAACTTGATGTAGGAAAAGAAGGCTTCAGAAATGCACAGAATCCTGTGACTTGTAAGAAAATAGTTATAGCCAAAATTGCCAGTGGTCTGAATGTAATTAAGCCAAGTTGCAAATCTTTTTGTTAATGGATTTTTCAAGAGGTTCATTTATCACTCCCATACAGTTCCTGTCATAATTTCTTAATTTATGAAGGGGGAGGGGGCTATCAGGCAGTCTGAATCTCACCTACATTTTTCTACCTTGAATCACTAAGGAGCCTTTATGAAAAATATTTAGCTAGTTTATCATTTTTCAAGGAAAGAAATCTTTTAATGTCAAATTAACATTTGTTACCAACATGTGAGAACAGATTAATTTTGTATTTGAGTAATCAGAGTTTATTTCTCAAAGCCAGGGTATTCCTTCTTTCCCAGGAAAATAATAATAAAGGATTAAGAGTTTTTGTTTACACTTTCAAAACCAGAGGCTAGGCTGTATTTCAGCTGTCTTGCCACTAGGTCCCGGTAAAAGGCCTCATGTAAATCCTTCCTTTCTTATCTCCCAAGTGTAATATAAGCAATAAAGTTCTTCATTCATAATGCACCATTTTATCACAAATAAGTAGATTAGCACAGACCATAAGCTACCATTCAGCATGCATTTCACAACTGTTTTTCCACTTGAGGGTTATTTTTTTTTTGAAAGAAAAATGTTTAGTCACCGAAATCGTTTCCATTTTCTTCAAACCACAATATGGTTTTCTCGTTTGTCTATGTTATATTCATGTTTCAGTGTCGCCGTATAATTTTATACAGAGTTTGGTTAACACCACTGAAATAACCATGCTTCACAGCACTGGTGTGAGATTACGTCAGAAAAAAGTGGTGTAACTATCATAGCTGTCACACACTGAGGACCTTACAGTGGGATAAACAAACAATGCCGCGGCAATGCATGTCCCGCCTGACCCTTCGGCCCGTCAGGCACTGGGCATTGAGGGTGAGCCGGGAAGCCTCACTTGGTGAGTGCTCTGAGTGCACTGTTCTGTGGCCTGGGACGTGAGAGTAATTGAAAAGAGCCTGTTCGCCTCTGCCCTCTTTATTTTCCCCTTGATCACATGGTATTTAAAATGTTTCTTCTCAACAAAATTGATTGTCCCCGAGCACTGTTCTGAGTCCTGGAGAGACTGACTTGTATGTAGGAGGCCAGAGCTCTCACACAAAACAGAGAATAATGCAAAATAAAAACAGCAGACCATTGAAAGCCACTTTTCCTTATGTAGTAATGTGTTAATTAAATGGAAACAAAGATTTTTATATGAAAATGAGTTTATATTACTTTCCCATTATACTATTAAGTTAGCGTGAAAGTTTACCATTAAAATAAAATGTTACCTCTTTTATTACTAACTTCGATTTGCTTATACAATGCCAGAAATTTTTTTTTATTAAATATTTTAATTTTATTTATTTTTCTCTGTTTTGATGAGTTTATAGCAAGTGTGAATTCTATTATTATTTGGGAGCACCCAGAGCTGCATATTCATTTGTGTAAGAAAAAAAGTAGTCCTGTACCAAGATTACCTACTTGCAAGAGATTGGTACAGTCCCATAAAATTCTCCTTTAAAAAATAATGCCATCATAGCAAAGACACAAACTATATGCCTTACTCATAATTCAATTTAAGGAAATTTTTATTGCCCCCTGAAAACCATCCTACCGCCTCATGCCCGTTCAGAGATTATATTCTAAACTAAGTTTAGACACTAAGATGTACTTAGCTGCCTAATAAGGACTGAGGTTCTTGGGCAGTAGAGAAACCTACTGTTCTGAATCCCTGGTCACTTGAACGGCGCGGTATAGTAACGAGCACAGACTACAGCCCAGGGAGCTGAGGCAAGCCCGTCTGAAGGCAACGAGAAAAGAACCCGCTGTTCCACCCTACGGGGAGAGAGTGGCATAATTAACGTGGAACAAAGGCTTGGACGATGTCCCTAGAATATCTATGGGAAGCAGTGCCACCAGCCAGCTCCCTCCTACAGGAAACGGAGAAGGTCTTGGGGCCGAAAAGAGGGAAGGTGGTCACCTGCCAGCACGGGGGCCTTTGTCCGAGCGGACCACACGCCTGCTCCCTGCGTTTGGAGCAGGCTTACGTCCCTGGCTCGGAGCTGCTGCTGCGCTGGGCGACACCTGTATCACTGTCCTGCCACTGAAGGTCTTCAAACTTTTAGAGAGACTACTCAAAGTACCTTTACAAGTGCATTAGTTATATTTAATATTTCTTACACTGAGATCGCTGATTATTCATACCTTATTGGGAATCTTTGCTGGCAGTGGGACTTTACCTAGGCCAGTGGTCGGCACACCGCGGCTCTTTGGCCCCCTGAGTGTGGCTCTTTCACAAAACACCACGTGTGGGCACGCATGTACAGTGCGATTGAAACTTCGTGGCCCCTGCGCAGAAGTTGGTTTTTGGCTCTCAAAAGAAATTTCAATCGTTGTACTGTTGATATTTGGCTCTGCGGACTAATGAGTTTGCCGACCATTGACCTAGGCTAATCTGAGGATAGCGTGCTTATCTCAGCCCTCGTTCACCTCGTGACTGATGCTAACTAATTGGCTCCTAGTGTTACCCCTCAGGGTCCTCACTTTCATAAACTCTACTCTGGGAAAACGTGGGATTAAGCAGGGAAGTAGGAAAAATGCCAATCAAATAGCAGGGCCCCATGTCTTTCTACTATTAACCCTTGAGGGAAAGGAAGCCTAGAAACATCCTCAAGCCAGTCACAGTGCAGCCCTGCTGGCAGGAGACACGAAGGCAGAGAACGGGACACCCAGACAGCAGATTCACGGATGTAAAGGGCAGTAATAGTGCCACCAAAGTGACTGAGAGGCCATCTCCGACAGGTCACTCACCATCAATAAGTGGGAGCTGATCCTCAGGAGAGGGTTTTGAGGTGCTTCCTGCTTCATGCTATTAAATATTACAAGCCTCTCAAGTCGATACAACATTTATTAAAGAGCACTGAATTGGACATTGGTGTTCTTTGTGATCCTCTAATCTCAGGAGGTGGCCCCTGTGAAATGAGAGTTACCCTCGCTCCGTGTTTCCGTGAGGCCTCAGGCAGGACAATGTTCCGGATGCTCCCTGAGCAAAGGCACAGGCGCCTGGGCGGGCAGCGGGTGGGAAATTTGCTGTGAAGGCTGCTGCTTTGTATTTTGTTAAAGAAAAAATATCCTGCGGTGTCTGTGCCTGCAGCATGAATATAGACTTAGCTTCCCTACATGCCCGCAAACTAGCCAGAACCCGAAACCAGAATATTTAGAGCTCCCTCTCAAGATTCGAATCCTGAATTTCTACACTATCTCCCCAGACATTACCATTGAGGCCTGCAGATGTGAGTGTTCTACAAAGTGAGGAACTGTCCTAAGCAATAGCCAAGGCCTAGAGCAGCATGTGGTCATGTTCTCCCTCAGCTTCGTCTGCTCACAAGCTTTTCTTAAAGGTCTGCCCTGTCAGGGCAGGAGCCTCGCTGGGTGCTTGTTTTTCCTGAGGGATGTTGTTTGGTTTGGGTTTTCAGTTTTTTACTTATTAGTATTTCCTTTTCTCATATTCAGTTTCTTAATCCTTACTTTACCAAAACAGAAAGGCCTGGTATGGTTGGCTTTTATCAAATGGCCTCATAAGTGGCTTAGACCAAAGAGTTTCTCCTCAGGTGCTCAGAAGGCCCCTGCCTGTGAAGGATCTCCCAGGCGCCCATTCCCAGGCCAGCTGCACGCCCACTCTGCGAGAGCCCGGGAAGAGGCAGCTAGAAGACAAAGCCTCGCTGTGGTCCCTGGAGACGGAGGGTTAGGTGGCAGATGTGCGTGATGAGCGACACTGTCCATAGAGGGAGGCTTTCCCAGGCGGGAAGGCCACAGTGAGCAGGTGCAGCCTGGGCAGCAGCCTGTAGATTTGGCCTAGGAAGCTCATTGGCTGACCTGCCTCCCAAGAAAGGTTAACACACTAACAACGATCACGGCACCATATACCCCTGGGCACATTCGGCGTTTCCGTTCCACCCTTCTGTGCCATTGTTTTTATTTTGTGCACACTCCTCTTGTCAGAAAATATCTGAAATTAGTGTGTCAGTTGTGCCACAGTAATGCGTTTCCCCATAGCTTCAGGAAAAAAAGGTAGCAACTATGAAGGCCTGCGTTCAAATAAGCCAGGCAACCTAGATATCAGACCCCACAGCGCCGCTGGGTTAAAACATCAGCTCTGCTCCTCACGGGCCCCAGAGCGGTGCCCTTCCCAGAAAGCCACCCGCTTCTGTCTGTCAAGGGCATCTTTATCTTTGTTCTCGGAATCGGCACGTGCAGCCCCCCCCCCGCCCCCCCAAGCAGGCTCTGAAGAGACAACCGAAGACGCCAGAGTCTGCTCCCTGAGGCAGACAACAGAAACACTGCTTCACTCCGGCCTGCTCGGCGGCAGCATCAGCACAAACACTCTGACCGCCCAAGCAGTGCGTCTGCTCACGGGGGATAGATGACACCTTATTTGGAAGCTAGGAAAGCGGTCAGTAGGAAATGTCAACGTTCTGAGCAACCCAGGGCAAGTGTAAGATGGCCTTAAAAATAACCCCGGTTCCCGCATTGGAGCAGCAAAACCCTGAGAATGAAAAGTGAGGTAGTCTATGATTCTAGCACCTCATGATTAATCTTTTTTTTTAAATTATTATCTTTTTTTTAATTATTATTTTTTTTTTTATGTAGCTCTTCTCAGAAAGTACAACCTTGGGGTCTTCTTTTGAGTTGCATGAACAATCTTTATGAAACAAACAAACAAACAACAACAAAAAGCAAAATTCCTCCCACTGGGGGCTTAAATTTCTAAATGCCCTGCCTTCAGACCCTTGGGGACAGAGAGGGAATCTGGGATTCCAGGCGCTCTGGTAGTCTTCGCCAGCTCACTAATCCAATGCTTTTGTTCAGTTGAAACACAGAAGGGAGGAAGAAAAATGCCCTATTCTGTAGGAAGTTTCTCTGGCAAATAATTTGACTTGGTAGGAACAGACCTGCCTGGCTGCTCTTAAGGAATGCTAGACCGTGGTAAGCAAATGCATGGGTGGGTGCCCAGAGTCATGCATGCTTCGTAGGACTGTCATGTCTTCCCCTCACCTACATACAGCAGTTCCTACGTGCAGACTGGCATGGCATGGCCGCTCCTCCCCTGCCCAAACTGCTTCACTTCAGCTACAAGCAGAAGTCCAATTCCAACAGCAGTGAACTAATTTGCCCTGATTCCTCCTCGGATGCTAGGCCTTTCTCACCGGCCACGTATAGAAAACATAAACGCTTTGGTGGAGTTCACTATTTTTGGCTTTAGTGTCAAAGACATTGATAGGATTGCCCTGATTCCCCATAACAAGTATATTTTATAATCTTACGATCCTAAATCCAATCCTAGGTGTAGTTTCTGCACATCAAATCAAAATCAGAGACAAGGAGGAACTGGTAGGGAGGGATCTTGGTTATTTCAAATTCATGCTCAAATTCATGTAGCCACAGACACGAAACCGCCTCTCACGTGAGGAGCATCTCACTTCACCACGTGCACTCAGTCATGCACTACGATCCTGTGACGTAGTCAGACCCTCGCCATGCACCAGTGCCTGGACTTTACATGGGACCCTGCTTCATAAAGCATTGAGC